GAGAGAGAGAGAGAGAGAGAGAGAGAGAGAGAGAGAGAGAGAGAGAGAGAGAGAGAGTTCCGCAGCGCTCGCCAGAGTGAGTCAGGGGAGGGACTTGGGCGGTTTTTACTTTATCAAGGTTGGGTTAAGGTACTTGCTCGTTGGTGCCTCACCCCAACCTTGGGGGGTTTATACTGGGTCAAGGTTGGGGTAAGGTACATGCTTGGCGGTGCCTCGCCCCACAAGCAAGTTTGGGTTTATACTTGATCGATTCTAAACTCAAGCTTTCGATTATAAACCCAAGCTTGCGGGCGTATAAACCCAAGTATGAAACCTTCTTGATCAGAATCTTCTTTCTTCTTTCTTCTTTCTTCTTCAACCGACCGGCGACCAGCTGTAAGATCATAATGGTTCAGTTAAACCCTGAATTCTGATGCTGTGCCTGTCAATTGGCAGCTGGCTGCTTCTTCCTGCAATCACTCTTACCTCGGCCAGCTCCACTGTGCTCTTGATTGTAGTAGTTTCTTTGAAGGATCTGTGAGTATCGGAGTGCCCTTGCCTGTGTTTGTGATACTCAGTGTGTCCATTCTTCTGTTCTAATGCCATGCCCTATCTTCTATCTACTTTTTTTCATAGTCTCTAAGGGATCCTCTTGCTAATATTTATCAAATCAACACAGGAGTTTCCTGGCCATTGGGAAGAGAGCGAGGCTAACATCAGCGTGAGTGTGGGCTGAGATCAGCTGTACGCGACACATAGGCATGCTGCAAAACAACCTCAGGCTGCCAGAGTATGTGAAAACTCCCCGTTCAACTGCATCTCGGAGACACGGTCGGAGATCTTCCAAGGACTGGCTAACTCGGAAAAACGTTTTAACTGATATCTTAAGAATATATGAGCTTAAGAAGATATGAGTGATAAGTCCGAGAGTTCCGGGGCATTTTTAAAATATATAGAGTTCATAGACTCACCAGAATTGCATATAGATTTGGGGATTGTGTTCCTTCTAAGGGTGTATACTCACAAGGTAGCACGTTTGTACTGACTGGGCACGTAATAACGGCCAGATACATCCCGGTTCGGCCGTAACTGAGGTCGGATACATTTAAACCACCAGTACTTGTTGGCCCATCTATGGGCCGCAGAAAAAGGAAAAAAAAAACAGAGTAGAAACGTTTCTAGTAGGATGAATTTGGGCGCTCCTGTAGTGGCCCGGACATTTTCTAAAATCGTGGCTTGTTAAAGGGCACCGCTTTAGGAAGTACTGGTATTTTAAAGATAAGACTGGTATAAGAGCTAGTAGCGAAAAAAAAAGAGAAAAAAAAAAAAAAAAAAAAAGATAAGAGCTAGTGTGAGTACGGCCTATAAATGCTCCTTGAAATAGTTTTATACATCGGATTCATGTTATTTTTTCTTGGATTTTTTTTTTTTTTTTTTTTTTTTTTTGGGCCCTAAATCCTGTCAGATACATTTAAAGATAAGAGCTAGTGTGAGCATGCCCTAAATGCTGCTTCTTGAAATAGTTTTATACATTGGATTCATGTTTTTTTTTTCATGGATTTTTTTTTCCTTACAGGACATGTGCAACATTTGCCACCAAGCTGAGAGTGCACGTGGCCTTTTTTTTTTTTAATAAAAGACAGAAAAACAAAATAAGTGGTATTTTGTAACCCACATGATTAGGAAACCAAATAAAAAAGTAATTAAATACATGGTGACATTATGGTGGTCTTATATATATATATCGTCAAACAGAACTGCCCGGTATATATAGAAAGAAGAAAAAAATGAATTCATAGCTGGGAATCGGGCCCAGCGTCCCTAACATCATTTTTTGCTGTAGTCCCTCCCTGGGATGAGTGGAGGCACTCTGGCCACAGTTTAGCGAGCCGAGTCGACCAGTCCTAAAAAAACGAACCCAACCAAACCTCAGTAGAACCTAATTGTATGTACACACAAAAAAGAAGGGTTCATACATGCAATGTATACACATACATTAATGTATGTATAAAGGGTTCATGTCTATATGCATCCTGGTGAGCACTCGACTTTGGTTTTTACGTCAGCGTCATCAGGCCTGCACATTATCTGACAGGGGTGGAGCTTCGACAAAGCTGCAGCGGTGACTCCTGCAATTGCTCGCATGTAAGGTGAGTTCCTTGGCCTGCCTGCCTCTGTCCCTCCCCCCTGCCTGTCTTTTTTTTTTTTGTTTTTTTTTTCTTCTTCTTTTTTTTCCCCTCCTCTTTTTCACAAAGGGGGAGTGCACGTCCCATATAGGTTCATTGAATTCATTCATTCATTCAACGAGCCAGCGATTGAACTCGCAACCTCAAATTATACTAGATGTAGTAGAAGCCTAAGGAAGATTCTCATGCCCGGCCGGGCACCCGGGCGTGACGCCTGGGGGGGGGAACTTCTGGATTTGGTAATGAATCGATTCAATCGAATGACATTTTTTAATTTCCGGCCCGGTCCCTCCYCCCCCCCCCCCCACCCCCCCGTCCTCCACTGCACAGTCTGCAACCCAGGTGTGAGTGTGAACAAGAAAGAATTATGTTATATGTTCTTTAAAATCTTTTTCTTAATCAGCTGTCTGCAAATAGTCGTGGATGAGAAAAGAAAATAAATCAACGATGATAAAATACTATTAAAAGTGCTAAATAAATAAACTTAAATTACGTAATAAATTTGTTATTCGCTCATGCAATCTCTCCATCATTTGTCCACAACGTTGGTGGGTGTTTGATGATTAAAACTTAAAAGGGGTCTACTCTACTGGGCTTTTGTTATTCGCTCACCCCCTCACCCCATTACTGGCCAATCTGTTCACTAATGGGGGGGTTTGGGGGGGGTTGCTGGGGGGGGGGGGGGGGGGGGGGGGGGGGTAAAGGGGTCGCTTGCTTATTTTTGGTGAAACCAGAACCCATTCTCTTGGGCAAAAATCCGAACTTTATCTGGAAAGTTAAGAAACATTTTCTTTTTCGCGGAGGGGTCTTCATATGATTTCTTTCAAAGTATTGGGGGAATTTGGGGCCCTTGGGGATATTGCGTAAATGGGGTTTCTTCCAAAGTGTTAGTGCACAATGTGCATGCCCTCGCCATTGTCCTCTACATTCACCCCACCTAGACGCTGGTCATTGGGCTGCATTTCTAATGGAAGAATACGTGAACTCAGTTTCACTCCAATGGGGTAAAAAAATTCGCTTCCACCACAGACTCTTGAGGTTCCTTGCTTCCAGCCGTCGGTTTGTTCCACTATGTCCTCCCTCCCATCCCCTCTAATCCTCTCTTTCCCATCCGTCCGTCCGTCTTTTCGTCCCTCTCTCCCTTTCTCCCTCCCTCCTTCACTCCCTCCTTCCCTCCCTCCCTCCCTCGCCCCTGGTTGCCTCACTCACTCTCCTACTCCTTCCCTTCCCTCCCTGTCTTCCTCCCCCTTCACCCCTTCCTATCCCTCCTTCTCTCCCCCCGGTCCTCTTTCCTGTCCCCTAGGATGCCTTACTTTGCTGCTTTGATCCCTATCACCGCTCTCTCCAACTCTGCCTTCAACTCTTTGTGCCGCTTTCCCTACATGTCTCGGTCATCTATGTTCCCTTTTTCCGTCTTTCCCTCCCTCCCTTCTTCTTGGAGTTTGAAGGGGGTCCAGGAGAGAGAGAGAGAGAGAGAGAGAGAGAGAGAGAGAGAGAGAGAGAGATAGAGA